TTGCATTTTGTATAAAATGTCAATTTTGATCATGGCAGCTGCCATAATAGTGACATGTAAATTATATTTACAAATGATCACTATTGCAACAGACCCTTGTAAAGTCTTATAGGTTTATTTCCATGGTTATTGCTTACATTACGGCGTACATGCTTTTTTTATTTTTTTAAACAATGAGTAGCTTTATGCAAGTCTGAAGTGCAGTTAGCTTTTATCAGGAGAAAGCAGGTCATTGAACAGAACTTTATTCTGTTGAAACCCATATTACCTGGCAAAATATCACTAGAAGTCGTAACCCATCCTTCTAATAAAGTACATGATATTATCAGCATGCTGCTTTGTACGCAATATTGTTATGGACAGAGATATGCTGTATTGGAGACTAAATATCAATTAAAGGGATACTGCTTTAGAGCCAAGTGCCATACCTTCTACATATTTCAAAAAATCCTTGTATTTAATCTTCTATTTTTTTGCTTTATCTATGTAAATAATTGAAAAAAAGAGTGAAGGTGAAGTATAGGTATTGTGAGCATCCATCTAACCGAAACATTTTACATTTTCTGGCAGTATGATTCTTATCAGTGGCACAAAAGTTAATTGCTATATCAGGGGCTTGTTGTGGCTCTTTCCTCTGCAAAAGTAAATAACTTCAATAACCTCATAACCACACTCTCCCGCGAACCAAAACGACTATTTCACACATTTAACTCTCTTCTTTGCCCTGTTGCTCCTCCTCCACCTACTAACTTGACCGCCTCAGACTTTGCAACTCACTTCACTGACAAGATCTCTACAATCAGGGAAGAGATCTCTCATCTTTCTTCTTCCCCTTACAATACTTCTCCTAACTTCACTCCCTCTGCTGTTTTATGTTCATTCGCACCCGCTACAGCGGAAGAGGTTTCTGCTCTGCTCCAGTCCTTTCCACCAGGGATTATTAAAAAACAAACACATTTCCCTTGATACAGTGCCATAGTTGGCACTGTATCCATATTCACAGTCCATATACACACACACAGAGACTGCTGAGTCCATACACACACACACAGACTGCTGAGTCCACACACACACCCAGAGACTGCTGAGTCCATACACACAGACACACATACACACACACACACACAGACTGCTGAGTCCATACACACAGACACACACACAGACTGCTGAGTCCATACACACCCACAGACTGCTCAGTCCATACACACACACACAGACTGCTGAGTCCACACACACACCCACAGACTGATGAGTCCATACACACAGGATGTTCTCTTTGACTCCGGCCTCTCCTTCAAGCCTCATCTTCAGTCTATCGCCAAATCTTGTCATTTCTATCTCAAAAACATTGCGCGCATCCACCCCTACTTAACGCCAGATGCAACTAAGGTGCTGGTCCATTCCACTGTCCTTTCTCGCCTTGACTACTGTAATCCGCTTCTCAGTGGTCTTACGGGCTCCCAACTTGCACCATTATAGTCCATCTTCTTGTCCGCCCGCACCTCCCACACCTCACCCTTCTGTCTGTCCCTACATTGGCTTCCTATAAGATATAGAGCTCAATTTAAAATTCTGGTTCTTGCTTTCAAATCTCTACATAATGCTGCTCCCACCTATCTATCCTCCCTTATACACAAGTATGTCCCATCTATGCCATTACCATCTGCTGAAGACCTACGTCTATCTTCTGTCCATACTCCCACCTCTGATGCTCGCCTTCAAGATTTCTCGAGGGCTGCACTGTTCCTGTGGAACTCGCTTCCCTCCTCCGTTAGATGCTCACCCAGTCTCCACTCCTTCAAAAAATCATTAAAAACCCACTTCTTCATAAAAGCGTATCAATTAAACTGTTAATAGCTCCCGACTGACTCCTCTTCTGTAACTGTCACTAGTCTAACACTATCCTTACCTTTTTGTGTCATTTTACCCCACTCCCTCTAGCATGTAAGCTCATTGAGCAGGGCCCTCAACCCCTCTGTTCCTGTGTGTCCAACTTGTCTGGTTACTACTACATGTCTGTCTGTCCACCCATTGTAAAGCGCTGCGGAATTTGATGGCGCTATATAAATGGCATAATAGTAATAATAATAGGTTGAACTGCTGGACTTTCTATGTTCTTTTTTGTTCAGCTGTAGGTAACTATGGTTAGCTTGCTTCTTACAGTAGGTTCGTGTTTAATGAAGTGTTCTCTCATCCTAGCCTTCATTGTACACCATAAAATACAGCTGGTTGCTTCTCCATCCTCATTAATTTAGGCAAACAACTTTATCTAATCTTTTAATCTATTTTAATCCTTCTTCCTATTCAGCAATGCTTCCTCTAACTGCAAAGAAAAGTGAAACAATTGCACAAATAGAGCCGGTTACAGATTAAAGCAGGTTTATGTAGTGCTCATGTTGGTTACCAAAATAAATCTGTTACGGGGGCGTGGCCTGGCTGCCGACTAGAATGGCAGCCTAGAGAGAGAGCTCCCGCGTATCCACACACCATCACGCACCGGTAAACTGCATCGCAGCCCAGACTCACCCTCCCTATGTCCCACCCGAGCACCGGAGCCACTCCACGCCAGAAAAAACGCAGGGAAGCGCTGGATTCCTCCCCCTCAGTGGCCCACACAGGCCGCACAGGCCTCACAAGATGGCCGCCGGACGGGCGCGCGAAGCTCACAATCCCCAACGGAACAGGAGCAAATGGAGTCAGAAGGGGGCAGCACAGCACAAATCCTGCAAAGGCTTGCAGAGGTCAAAACATACCTTGCAAGTGAAATCACCCGCAGCACAAGAGATATTAAAGCTGAAATCCAGGCCCTGGGCGCCCGCACCTCAGAGCTGGAGCAGAGAATGGAGGTACTGGTACAGGGCCATAATGATGTGATACAGCACTCCACCTCCCTAGACCACCACATTATAGACCTGGAAATGCAGGTTGAAGACCTGTCCAACCGCACCAGGAGGAACAACCTCCGCATCAGGGGGTGGCCTGAAACGCCCAATGAAGGCCCTCTGGCAGAGCTCATGGAGGTATACTTTAGCGGCCTACTCCCGGACATTCCCAAAGCCCAGTGGGCCATGGACCGGGCGCACAGGGCTCTGCGCGCCCGGCGGGGGGACACTGACACCCCGAGAGATATAATCGTTTGCTTTCACCACTTACACCTGGCGACACATTAGTCTGGGGACACACACGGATGTTGTAGATGCAACCTATACTCACCGGAGGGGACCCACGAAAATTTCTACGGACCTGGACATCACACCCCCGAGAACCTTCGCCTTACCTGGAGGGCGGACCCTAACACCACTCCCAAGGGACTGGTACACAACCAGCCCACCACACTCCAAAGAGGGGGGGGGGGAACAAAAAAAAAAAAGCACACCACAGACAGTGTGCCCCTCGAAGGGCACGCACATGATTCAGCACACTGGCCAGGTAGGGGGGGGATGGAGGGGGCGGGTAGGGGAGGATTGGCACACAGTCGGTACACACAGGAGGATTCCCATGTGAACGAAAGCTGGGGGGATCAAAATAGCACACAGCAAGAGTGAAAGGCGCACATGCCAAGCAACCTAAGGGGGGACAACAGCAAGCACGCCTCGCTTCGAGGGGGACAGACCAGTAGGTAGAGGTTCTGTGGCCACTGGCTGCTTACAGCATCACAGTGGAAGGGCGCTGGGAGATCACCAACCCCGAGGGGTGCTTTTTCTTACATTGCTTCGGAGGGGCGACCACCCCAAATTCAATCTGGCACAGGTTAAGACCAGATTATCACTTTGTGTTTATTTTTCATGTTTATTTGTATATGTCTGGAAGTGTTACTCTGTTACTTATGTATCTTTTCTCTCACTCTTTCCAATGACAAGTACTGATCTCCAATTCCATTGTGCCGTGCGGATGCCGCCAGCGTCAACGGGTGTGGCCCTTGGGCCGGGCCCCTCACACAGCGCGCACTTCAGACCCCGGACACTTGGAGCGCCTGCACTACCAACAGCTCAGCCGACTTCCCCACATGGCTCTTAAGGTACTTTCGTTAAATGTCAAGGGCCTCAACTCCCCAACCAAACGGAGACTCCTAGCGAGGGATTTGAAAGCCAAAAAAATAGATATCGCACTGATACAGGAGACACACCTCCCCAGGTCGGCGCCCACTAAACTGACTGACAGGACCTACTCGACAGTGCATGAGGCTCGCTCCCTCCGTAAGCGAACGGGGGTAGCGATCCTTGTCCATAAACACTGCCCGCTACAAATAACTACTACCCAGACTGACCCGGAGGGGAGATTTGTATATATAGGAGGCACCCTCTACACCACAAAAATACATATTATCAATGTTTACGCACCCAACGAGCCGGATAGACAGTTCTGGGAGGGCTTGGAGGTGCTGGTGACTGGGGCCAGGGGGGGGGTTCTGCTGGTGGGGGGCGACTTTAACGCTGTACCAAGCCCGGCAGCGGATAGAAGCTCAAAACCTGGCACAGTGAGGTCTCAAGGTAGAGGGGGTCAAGATAAACTATTACACACATTTTTGACGCACACGGGTCTATTGGATGTATGGCGGCTACAGCACACGACCACATCCGACTACACGTTTTATTCTGTGCCGCACAACACCTACTCCAGGATAGATAACATCTTTCTGAACGGGGTGGGAATGGATAAGGCCATACACACAGATATCGGTAACATGACATGGTCAGACCACGCTGACGTAACGCTGACCTTAAGCAACCTGCGCTACCAGTCCAACTGGTCGTGGAAGCTTAATACTAGTCTTCTTAGAGACGCCGAAATCCTTGAGACCACCCGACAGGCTATCACAGAATACTTTACACTAAACGCAACACCTGACACCAACCCCACCGTGGTCTGGGCGGCACACAAAGCGGTCATACGCGGGCTCTTTATAAAACTTGCAACGCATAAAAAGCGAGCCAAAATTAAAAAGCTCCTCGAATTACAGTCAGCCTTGAGGAAGGCAGAGCAGCAACACAAAACTAACCCGACAGACTCCAAACTTAGAGAACTGAACACCCTCAGACACTCTATTAGGGACATCTCTCTGGAAGCGGTGACACGCTCCATACAATGGTCAAAGCGACTCTACTATGAGAAAGCAAATAAAACAGACACACTGTTAGCCAGGGTGCTCCGCCCGAGACCACAGGACAGGGCCATAACGAAAATTCACACGGTCGCCGGCATGCTAGTTGAGACCCCTGAGGCCATCAACGAAGTTTTCACCTCCTATTTCTCCAACCTCTACAATCACTCCCCCCACCTACACGCCAATAACACCGCCTATAGGGCCGACATACAACGATTCCTTGCAGATCTCACACTGCCCAGGGTGAGTGAGGCAGACGCAGGTCCCCTAAGTGACCCGATTACCCAACCAGAGGTAGAATCAGCCATATCATTCCTTGAGGGAAACAAGGCCCCAGGCCCAGACGGATACGATGTTAACTACTACAAACAATTCAAGGAGGTACTAGCCCCTCACCTCACGGCCCTTAGTAACCACTTTATGCAATGCGGGGTACCTGACGGAGACATGGCCACAGCGAATGTAGTACTACTACCAAAACCGGAGAAGGACGACACGCGCCTCCAGCTATAGGCCAATCTCACTTATCAATACAGACCTCAAAATCTTTGCTAAAATACTAGCATCCAGGCTCTCCTCCCTACTCCCACGCTTGATCCACCCGGATCAGGTGGGCTTTATGCCCGGATGCCAACTGTACGAGAACACCAGATGGGGGGTGGATGCCATGTGGTACATGGCGGAGTCCAAGACGCCTTCTCTAGCGCTCTCTTTAGACGCGGAGAAGGCATTTGACAGGGTGCTATGGCCTTACCTCTTCGAGCTACTCCGGTTCCAGGGGTTCCCAGAGCCCTTTGTGACGGCAATACATGCGCTCTATACAGATCTGAGGGCACAAACACTTATCACAGGGGTGCCTAAACAGCCTTTCACTCTTAGCAACGGCACTAGGCAGGGATGCCCGTTGTCCCCTTTGCTCTTCGCCCTCACCCTAGAGCCACTATTACAAGCTATCAGGCAACATCCACACATTCAGGGCATAGAGGTGAGCGGCACACCCTTCACAGTCTCGGCATATGCTGATGATGTCATGCTAACACTCCGGAATCCGATGGACTCCCTACACCACCTGACACAACTCTTAGCAAAATTCGGGAACATCGCAGGCTACAAAATTAATTACTCCAAGTCGGTGGCAATGCCCTTCCATGTACCGCACCAAGACGTAGAACATATACGCAAACAATACCACTTAAAGATAGCCACAGAGGAACTCCTGTATCTGGGGGTCCGCCTAACGACAACCGCATTGTCGCTTTATGCCCGCAACTACACACCACTGCTTCGGACCCTTACCACGGAAATGGAGCAGTGGACACACAGGCCCATTTCGTGGCTGGGACGGGTCAATACAATAAAAATGAATGTGTTGCCGAGGCTCTTGTTCCTTTTTCAGGCACTCCCGGTACAGGTGAACCGGGGAGACCTGACGGGTATACAGCGGGCAATAGACTCCTTCATCTGGCAAAACAAGCGCCCGAGAATGGCTCGCACACTCATGTACAGACCGAAAGCCAGGGGGGGACTGGGACTACCCAATGTATATAATTACTACCTAGCAGCACAGTTAACCCAGATCATACAATGGCACACACCTCCTGATACACAACGCTGGGTCGACATGGAGTCACTAATGACGAGACAGGACCTCCCACAATTCTTTATAGGGCACCAAAAACACAGAGGGCCATACTGAGGACCACGAATCCGGCTATATTGAACTCCATACGGATATGGGACCAAACTAAACTAAAACACTCCTTGAGCCCCACTCTGTCTCCCATGGCACCAGTCTTCCGGAATAGGGCATTCCCACCGGGAATGAGGGCCCGAGACTACAAGGGGATAGAAGCCACTGGGCTCCAGAGATACGTCCACCTGTTCATAAACCAGGAAATAGTCACATACGCACACCTGAACACCAAAGCTCCACTGCACACTAGAGACTATTTTAGGTACCTGCAAATTCGAGACTTTGCCCAGAGCCCTGACGTAAAAAAGGCAGCCCTGACACCTCTAACCTTTTTTGAGAAACTATGCTTTACGGAGACTACACAATCCAAGCTAATTACATTACTGTACAACCACCTCAGCACGGCCCCGGACACGACAGACGCACTCCGATATGCTGACCAGTGGGAGGCCAACCTGGGGGAGGCCCTAGAGGAAACGGAGTGGAAGGACATATGGGAGGCATGCACTAAAACCACTATCTGCGTAACACTCCAAGAACAATCATACAAAACACTATTCCGTTGGTACATGACACCGGTGAAGCAAAAACACATGAAATTGTGTCCTACGGATGATTGCTGGCACCTATGTGGGGGGAGGGGCACCTACATCCACATGTGGTGGGAATGTCCAAAAGTAGCAACCTATTGGCGCAGTATAGTGAACTTCAGCTCCCAAATCTTGCAAAAACGAATGACACTGGATCCGTGGGCATGCCTTTTATCCAGACCCACGGAGGGCCTACCACGGCACGAACAAAAACTCCTTAACATGATCTACCTAGCGGCCCGCAGGGCCATGGCACAACACTGGTCCTGTCCGGACCTCCCGCAGCTATCATTGGTTAGGGTGAAACTCCGCGATAATTATCTGATGGATAAACTCACGGCCCAAGTGCGGAACACGCTGACCGCATTTCACAATGTATGGGGTCCATGGGAGCAATACGACACGTAGACTCGGGGCGCGGGGCGGCATCTGTGCAGCACATTTCAGCAGTGGCGGGGGGGGCCCACCCGGCGGTCACTGGCACGCCACAACCCGGACAGGTGGAAGCGGCTCCACAATGGGACGGGGGACTGGCTAAAGCCGGAGCGAGGGCCGTAGCCCACTAGGGCGGGCGGCACGGGCTCTCTTACTTCACAGGAGATCACCAACTTTCTGTACTTCAACATACTGAACAGTATACTTACCTATCTCTACCTTTTCTCTATTCACCTGTTCTTATCTTTTGTAAGTACTTCAGACAATGCTAGCAAACACGAGGAGGGGACACCTTTAACACTGTCTGACCCTGCCGGATTACGTGCATGACGGAATGACAGATCACGGGGGGGTGCAGGGACAGAGCAGACGGAGAGGGCACAAGGCCTGAAATACCTGAGCAAGCTCGGGATGCCACACACATACGCCTAGGCCAAGGCAACGCAATACACTCATTCGCAGCCATATACTTATTTGCAGCCATCTCGAGAGTTTAGGGCACAGCACACTCCTCAATAAGTCTACAGTTGTACATAGTTATTATTTTCTTTTTTTCTTTCTTCGGCTACTTTTCTCTTTTCTCATTCCTTCTCTTTATCTGATTACCAACGTAAATGAAATCTCTGGCAGAGACGCACCAAAGGTGCACAGTTTGTGACAGATGCTTGTACTGATTTTGTCACCCTGTATTGTATACTGTAAATCAATAACACTTGAGCGGTCATGTATTCACGTCTGTTTGCACTATTGTAACCACGCTTGAATGGCAGAGCGAAAAATAAAGAATTAAAAAAATAAAAAATAAATCTGTTACCTGATGTTTGGGAACCCACACAAATTGCCTGGTGATGGCTACTTAGCAAGTTCCTGCAAAGTAAGTAAAGCTACAGTCACAGTGAGGGTTAGTGGTTGTGCTTCAGCATTGGGAATTAGATAATCTAAGATGCAAATTAGGGATAGAATTAGGGTTAAGGATTATTTAGCCAAACCCCCAATATTTATTTTAAACCTAACCCTTTATGTAATACAACCTGAAATGTTATTTCACTTTTTTTTTTTTCAGGAAAAATGTTGTATACATACAGTGCCCTCTACTAATATCGGCACCTTTGATAAACATGAGCAAAGAAGGATGTGAAAATTGTTTACCTTTTGATCTTTTGTTAAAAAAAATACCCATATCACTCTGCTTTCATGGATACTAAGCAATTGCAAACACAACACAGGTTTATAAGTAAAAAAAAAATCCATGTGAAATATATGTGTGGCACAATTATTGGCACCCTTTAAGTCAAAACTTAGTTTTGCCAAGATAACAGCTCTAAACCTTCTACTATAATGCCTGATGAGATCGGAAAATACAAGGCGAGGGATGTGAGATAATTTCTCCATACATAATCACATTTCAAGCTCGAGGCTGGTGGACTCTCCTCTTCAGTTAACCCCATGTGGTTCAAGTCGAGGGGTTGGGATGGTCATGACAAGACCTTCATTTTGTGGTCAGTAAACCATTTTTGTGTTAATTTTGATGTATGTTTTGGATTATTGTCCTGCTGGAAGATCCAACTACGGAACATTTTAAGCTTTCTGGCAGAGGCAATTCTGTGTTCATTTAATATCTATTGATATTTGATAGAGTCCATGGTGCCTTGTATCCTAACAAAATGACCATGTCCTCAGGCAAAAAAAAAAACAGCCTCAAACATTAAAGAGCCACCACTATATTTAAACTTGGGTATGAGGTACTTTTTCTTATGGCTTACTTCTCTATGTGTGTCAAACCCACCTCTGGTGTTCATAGCCAAAAAGCTCTCTTTCGGTTTCATCTGACCATAGAACCCAAATGGCTATATGAATTTCCAGCAGTGACTGGCAAACTGAAGATGCTTGAGTTTGTTTTTGGATGAGAGTAGAAGTTTTTTTTCTAAAAACCCTTCCAAACAACTTGTTGTGATGTACGTGACGTCAAATGGTAGTTTTGGAGACCTTTTGATCCCAAGACACAACTGTCTGCAATTCTCCAGCTGTGATCCTTGGATGTTATGTGTTACCTTATATTTATACCCCAGGAAGTCACAGAACAGGAAATCATGGTGGAACAAGTTACTGTTTCTTGTCACCTAGATGTACTTCAAAATGTAAAATATCAATGGAAATATACTTCAGCCATATTTTTCTCATGTGAATTCATAGGGGTGTCAATAATTGTAGATTATACTAGCTTTAGTGTAACTACAATCTTAAATTTATTAATGACAGAAGGTGAATATTTGCTTAAGTCTCTCTTTACTACAACTTCACAGCAGCACATTATCATAGAGAGAAAAAAAAAAACAATCACAAAAAAGTAAGGAAACCATAAAAGGCCCCTCCCAAACAACTACT